CTGGGGGCCAGGGCTGGACCGGCCAATCGGGCGGGTGCCCGTGGGGGGAGGGGAGTCCAGCCGGGCTCTACCCTGGGCAGCAGTGCCTTGTCTTCCTCCCGAGGTGGATGTGTCCCGCACGTGCGTGCCCGGTCGGTGCGTGAGCGGCACCTGCGAGGGGTCCGTCCTGGTCTGTGTGCTGGGCTGGTGCTCCACTCTGCTTCCCTCCATCCCGCAGCCTGAGTTCTTTCTTTATCACCGCCCCCCCCCCCCATCAAGTGGACCCACTTACCAGGTCCCAGGGACCCCGGCTTATGAGGGGATGTAGGGGTGAAGTGCCCCCAGTCTCTGGAGGAGCCGTGAGAAGGGAGAGGGGGTGTGCACTGTGGGTGCTCTGGCCGCGGGGGGGGGACACTGAGTGGGCTGTGGGCACGGAGGGCCACCGTGAGTGTCTGCGGGGCGCCTTGCCTGCTGCCTTTCCCTCCAACAGGCTGGGGCGGCTTCCATAACTTTGCGGAGACGGGAGGTGCCTGTGTCGTCAGGTGGCCCTTCCCCCAGGAGGGGTCAGAGTTGCCTCCCAGGCCCACGCTGCAGGGAAGGAGTGGCTGTGGGGGAGGCAGGTGTCACACCTGCCCAGGTCGGAGACAGCCTGGCCAGGCCTCGGACCCACAGGCCGGGCGGGGGAGGTGGCTGGAGAGAGGATGTCAAGGTCACTCCGGTTCCTTCATTAATTCCTGGGCAACCCTCCTTCCACACCTGGGAGTGAGGGGCGTGGCTCTCGCTCCCTGGGCTGTGGACCGGAAGGAGGCTGCATTTGCATGCTCATTTGCATATGGTCCAGATGAGGACAGATGCCTAGAAACCCAGGTCTACCTTTCTGCACCTCCCTTCCACCCTGGGCCCTGGCTTTTCTCCCTCCCACTTGGGGGGGCATTAGGGGTCACTGGGAGGGCAGCTAGCCTGGGGTCAAAGGTGGGGTGTGACCCAAGGCGGCTCTTGCCCAAGATGCCTGCTTTTCGGAGGGTCACCCTAAGAGTTTGTTCTCTGCCAGGGGCCCCTGGAAAAGGGGGGCCAGGCCCGGAGCCCGCAGAGAGGTGGTGCAGCTGGAGCTCCGAGCAGGCGTGGGAAGAGGTGGGGACGCTGACAGCTGCAGGGGGCACCAGCCTGGGTCGCACTGATGGCTGAGATGGGGACCAGAGCTGGCAGCCATAGGTGTCGCCAGGGTGGGCATGTGGGTTGTGGATTGACGGGAGGGGGCAGTGGGTGTGGGGCATGGCCAGGTCCCTGCTTCTCCCCTCGTCTGCCCTCCTCAGCCGCCGGGACACCTGCCTGCATGGAGAACAGGGCCCCTCCCGCGGGCCTTGCCCAGAGCGCTGAGGGTCCCCAGGCGGGGCCGTAGCCTGCGAATCCCGCAGGAGCTTCCCCAGCAGCTCAGGGCCGGCAGGCTCCACCACCCCGTTATCGGCCGAGGTGGGGAACCCCTGACCCACCGCGGGCAGCTGCAGACCCGATTGGTGGCCGCTGGGCAGCAGTTGCCATTCCTGAACTGCATGTAGATGGTGCCCTCCACCGTGCCCAGCCCCATACCAAGGCTGTGCCGGCTGCCAGGTGAGGGGCTTCTGGGCACAGGCTTGGCCCCTGTGGGCACCCAGCCCTCCACCCCATTCCAAGGACATGGCCTGCTGCCCGGCCATCTGCCACCCTGAGCCGTGTGGCCATAGGGCCGTCAGCAGAGGGCCTGCTGGCACCCACCCTGCCACGGGCCTGGAGGTGATGGCATCACCAACCGTGCCCGAGGCCACCTGGAAAAGATGCAGACCAGGAAAGCCACAGCAGGAAGGAGGGTGGCAGCCAGGGACAGGTGAGGGCAGGGCGCGTGCTCGGGGCGTGAGAGGCAGGGACGGCTCAGGGGGGCATGGCTGGGTGGGGACCCTGACGGTGGACCCTCCCCTCCCAGGCTGTCGTGGGTCAGGGTCTGCTTCTGGCCCAGCGGGGTTTCTGTCTGGCTGGGGAGTGGGTCCAGCCGTGCCCCAGGCAGTGAGCGAGCGGCTGGGGAGGTGCAGGTGGACACTGGTAAGCTTGGGGTGGCGTCCTGGTTCCCCAGCTTCGCCGTCTGGCCAGCCTGCCCTGGGAGGGCCGCGAGCGCTGGCCTCGGGGAGCCAGCCGGTTTATCCTCCTGCTGGTGATGTTCTGTGTCTGGATGTAATGGGGCCCATTTTTCTCCTGCACTTGGAGGCTGTAATTTTCCTGCCAAAATGTTTTAAAAGCTGCAAACGCAGAAACATTTCAAAATTACAGGTAATTTTATTAAGCACAGGCATGCAGTGTTAGTGCGCGTGTCTGGGAGCGTTTTGGGTGGCTGTTCTGTGTAAATGTGCTTGAATGTGGAGGGGCCTGGGCGCCTGTGGGGGTCCCGGGGCACAGGGCGGCATGTCTGAGCTGTGAGGTGTGTGCATCGTCGCAGGTGACACTGTAGCGGCGAGAGGCGTCCGTGACCACGTGGGCCGTGTGTCTGTGTCCCGGGTGTGGATGGCGTGTGTCTGGGCCTCTCCTCCAGCTCAGGCTGGAGGCCAGGACGTTTGCGGAGTGTTACTTAAAGAGATGTCCACCAGGGCTGGCAGTGGCCCCCCCGCTTGGGCCCCCGGCCCCTGGACGGCCCCTTCCTACCGTCCCTTTCCTTGTCCCCGGCAGCTTCCCCACCAAGCAGTGTGATCTCGTTCTTCCTGCCGACAGAGCCAGCCACCACCCTTGAAGGCAGAGAGCAGCAGTTTGGCTTTTATTTATTTTTTATTTTTCTTTAAAAATTTTTTTTTTAAATATATTTTATTGATTTTTTACAGAGAGGAAGGGAGAGAGATAGATAGTTAGAAACATCGATGGGAGAGAAACATCGATCAGCTGCCTCCTGCACATCTCCCACTGGGGATGTGCCCGCAACCCAGGTACATGCCCTTGACCGGAATCGAACCTGGGACCTTTCAGTCCGCAGGCCGACGCTCTATCCACTGAGCCAAACGGG